CTGCAAAAGGAAACATCTTACAAAAGTAAACAGTTGTCAATTGAAATTACGTAAACGTTTATCGAATTCGATAATAAAAAATAGTGTGAGATACAGAGCTTGTCGAGCTCGAATCTGAAAACTTTGAAGCGGACAAGCTCTAGTGACATGATAAAATATGGATTATTATAAAACTTATCTGATCTGAACTATGCATCTCTCAAAAATGAAAGACTCATTTTGTAATCAAAAGCTTACTTAATATTTCTGTCAAGGTAATTAAAATATCTTTCATTTTATTTCTGAATTCTGTACAACAAGCTTCGATGATAAACTCATTCAACAAAGTCATATCAATACATACCTAATAAGAGTTTCTTTCTAACTTCTCCCGAACTTGGTGATTTCTGAGCTAAAATGAATATTGTATTAATAATAATTGTTCATATTCACTTCTACACTTGTAAAATAATGAAAGTATAGCTACCAACAACACAATAAAAAATACTTGATCACAATAGAAGCATATTGGACTTCTATTCTGTGCGAGGAAGGTTTATATAATTATAAATTTAGCTTTTTTTTTTCTTATATAGTTTACGCCATATAATCCTGGAAGTGCATCATCGCAAAATATTGATAGTGAACGTTTTCAAAATGTGTTAAGTAGTACATCAACTCTTGATGAACAACAAAAAGCCAAAATTGCTTTTGCCGAAGGTTTGAATTTTATTATTCGTTAAATTCCTTAGTGCCAAGGTTTCATGTTATAGGTTATATTGCAGCTGCTGGCGAGTCTAAACCAAAAGATCGTTCATCAATCTTCAAAGCAATACGAGTAATATTATTTTACAGTATTTTGTTAATAATTCTATTAAACATTATATCCGCACTTGGTGGTGGTATGTACGTGTCTAAATATATATGAATATATAAAATTATTTATATCAATTTTTTAAGATGGTAGTGGAATAACAACTGCTTTTTCTACAGTTAGTAAATATGAAGTTCATCCAGAAGATGTTAAAGTCAATTTTTCCGATGTTCGAGGCGTAATAAAATTCATTCATTTTTATTTTAAATAAATCATTCATACGCTTTTATTAGGCTGATGAAGCAAAAGATGAATTAATGGATATAGTAGCATATTTAAAAGATTCAGAAAGATATACAAAATTAGGTGCTCGACTTCCTAAGGGTGTACTCCTTGTTGGTTCACCTGGCATCGGTATATGTCGTTGTTTCTTATTTTTATAAAACGCGTAAACCTATCTTTAGGTAAAACACTTTTGGCTCGAGCTGTTGCTGGTGAAGCTGGTGTTCCATTTTTTCATACATCTGGATCAGAATTTGATGAAATGTTTGTTGGTACAGGTGCTCGTCGTGTACGTCAATTATTTAGTAAGTTTATTTTTTTTTGTGTTCTTTTTCTCACTGTAAATAAAAGTTTAGCTATTGCTAAATCTCGTGCACCATGTGTAATTTTTATTGATGAAATTGATTCAGTTGGTGCTAAACGATCAAGTTCACAATTGCATCCATATGCCAATCAAACCATAAATCAACTTCTTGCAGAAATGGATGGGTAAATTATTTTGTTTGTAAAGTTTTTTGTCAATTGAATAAATATGCTTTAGATTCGAAAAAAATGAAGGAATTATTATATTAGCAGCAACTAATCGTCGTGATTATTTAGATACAGCTCTTTTGCGACCAGGTCGTTTTGATAGTGAAATTTATATAGCACCACCAGATCTTCGTGGCCGAAAAGAAATTTTTGAATTATATCTTAGTAAAACAATACATGATAAATCTATTGATACGGAATATTTAGCAAAAGGAACAACAGGTTTTACTGGTGCTGATATTGAAAATTTGGTTAATCAAGTAATTCTTCATATGAACGTTATTTCTTTTGAAAACTTTTGTTTTTCTTTGCAGGCTGCTCTCTATGCTGCTCAATCAAGTTCACCATTTGTAGCTATGAATCATTTAGAATGGGCACGTGATAAAGTTCTTATGGGTCCAGCAAAAAAATTTAAAATACCTGATCCAGAAACGAACAATATTACAGCGTATCATGAAGCTGGTCATACTATTGTACGATATTTTACTAAAGATGCTGATCCATTACATAAAGTAACGATTATTCCTCGTGGACAAGCACTTGGTTTTACAGCACATATACCAATAAAAGAAATATATACTCAAACACGATCACAATTATTGGCTGAAATGGATGTTATGATGGCTGGACGTGCTGCTGAAGAACAAATATTTGGTATTGAGAAAATAACCACCGGTGCAGCAAGTGATTTTAGTCAAGCGACTAAATTGGCAACAAATATGGTACTAAAAAATTCTTTTTTTATGTTCGTTTATTTATTTATTTAAATAGGTAACACAATTTGGTATGTCGGATAAAGTTGGTACAAGATCATTTCGAGAAGAAGAACAAGATGCTGGTGTAGGATTTGTTCGTGTTAATGATATAAGTCCAACAATGCAAGAAATGATTGATTTAGAAATTAAAAGACTAATGCAGGTATTGATTATTTTCTTTTTGAATTATTTATCAATATAAAATTTTCATTTTTTCTTTTTTTTTTTTCATTATGATAGGAATCATATGATCGTGCTAAAGTCTTACTTAAACAACACGCACATGAGCTGAAGATACTTGCTGAAGCTCTTCTTCATTTTGAAACATTATCGGCCGATGATGTCAAGGCTTTAATTGAAGGTCAAAAAATAAATCCGTAAAACAAAATAAACGTACAGTGTTTTTGATTTGTTGTTTCTAATTAATGCAGTATTTTTATGGATGTTTTTGTTTACTATGGTATTTAGGCAATATTCAAACAGGATTGTTTTCTTACTTTCCATCCTTTTTTTGCGTTTGTCTGTACCCGAGTGTTTTCCTGTAAAGCACAATAATTTGAGATGTATAACAAAACAAAACAAAAAAACAAGAAGAAAAACAACCAAAGAATGTGAAATGTCTGTTATGATAAAATTATATTTTTATTTACTCGTTAAATCAATGAGTGAAAAAGAACTAAATTTGATATTCATTGGTTTATAATAAATAGTAACGAAATATCTTATCTGTCTCTCTTACGGAGAAAAAATGATACCCATCTTGTTGTTATTCTATCTCAACAAGTCGACTGCTTAGCCTCAATTTATTTTCTGCTGTATGTAATTATCGTAAATAGAACTATTTTCTTCTGATATAAACTGACAAGGTTTTTTTTATTCACCGATTGATGTCTATATTCTTTTTATATGCGTCATAGTTTCTTGTTTTTTGTTATTTTACCGTTCTGGGTTTGTACATAAATACGTTTTATCTCGAATTTTTAGTTAAAAATAAGTCAATATTGTAATATGATAATATTAATCCTAAATCGAATTAAGTTCACTTCGTGTCATCCGTTATAAGAAAACAAAAAAAAAGATATAAATTTGATATACTGAAAAATATTTGATTTGACTTTCAAAAACAACTTTACTAGAGTGTTTTTTTTTCTTTTTTCCTATTCCTATAAGAGCTACATTCTATACGATAACAACAATAACAGCGATGACAACCAGTAAATAGAGTATAGATTGAGGAAAAATAATTGTCCTTGCACATAACGAGAAGAGAAGAGAAAAAATAGAAACGATATATAAGTACAAGAATAAATGTGACATCAAAGGAATACTATCGTTTTGAAAAACTTCACCTGAAGGTTCGATACTAATCAATAAATAATTGTTAGGTAGTTTAAAAAAGAAAAAGAAACATAATGGTGATTGCTATTCAAATAGCATAAGAAAAATGAGAATATTTAGCCGTATAACTATAATTGATGACATGAAACTACATGTTTACTAAGTAGTATAAAAAAATCAAATAGTCGAATTATTTATTTATTCACTAAGCATTACATTACATTATATACGTAATCAGAACGTAAGTTTTAGTTTTTGTTTCTTTATACATATACACTTGGGATCGATGGAATCTATGTTGTAAACAGTTAACGGCTATTTTTTGTGTATGTATTAATAAATGAGATAATGGAAATAGTCACTTACGACCGCTGAACATCAAGACTCGACTGCATTACACTACTGTTATGTGTGAAAAGGGCACTTATAAGGTTATTGATAAGATAATATGAGAAACAAACGTGGGTGTCAATAAAAGAAATAGAAAGATTCTTGTAAAGAAACATCTATCGATTCTTACATTAATTCGCTTAGATTTTAATAATATCAAAATTGAAATTAAAAAAATTTCAATTGACTTTTGAGAATTACTATAAATATCTGTTTTTAGAATAAAAATATTACGCGTAGGAAGATTAATGTTTTTTTTTTTATTTATATGAAAAAAGTCATAAAGAATAGGCAAATAAATGTTTACGCGATATAAAAAAACGAAATAAAAAAAGACAACTCGAAAAATGATGTTGTTGTTGTTTTTCTAGTTAATGACGTCATCTTCCAATGGTGTCTCACTCACTCAACAAGTGCCAAGTCATTTCTTTTTTTTTTCGTATGCTGACGCACTCGATAGGAATGCAGCAAAGGCCCAGAAAAAGCGAGAAAGAGCGAGAAAAAAGAAAAATCGAGTTTTTGATTATCAACGAGAAAAGAAGAGGCGGTAATAGGGAGAAAGAAAAAAAGCAGAAGAACGAGCTACATTACTTTTTTGTGCCTTTGCTACACGCATGCCTTATAATAACTGAGTGCACATTCGTTCGTACAACAGCATATCGTTTTGAGCCATCGCTACTGTGCATTGGCTTCTATATAGTAAACAGTACTTATATATATATATATGGTCGATTTCTTACCTTATATGGTTGTATATTGATGTATATAATTTACAGAAATATTTTAGATTGTTTTTCAAATGTTACCCTAATTTACAATCATTGATATACATTACACAAATAGAATATTTTTTAAAATTATACATAAGTTTAAAAAGAAATTCAAATAATTACAAGAATTCATAAATATTAATGGCTTCAGAAAATGGTTCCAGTCGTCCACCGTCTGGAGTAAGTATTAGATTTTATGGTAGATATTTTTTTGAAATAATTTTCTTGTTTTTCAGTGTGTTTCAATTCCGGTAGAAATTATTCGTGAACCTAAGTCAACTAATTCAGGATCTCATTCACGACATAATTCTCCATTTCGAACACTGCATAATGATAATCCATATGGTGGATATTCAGGTTCTCCATCATGGACATCTAATTCACCTAGTCGTTTTGCACCACGTCAAAGTCCAAATACTGCATATGATCGTATGAATACAAATTCACAATTTAATCAACCATTCAATGATTATCCATCTTATCAACAATATCAAGGGCCACAATATCAAGAGCCACAATATCAAGAGCCACAATATCAAGAGCCCCAATATCAACGTCCACAACAACGAATGTATGAATCAGGTCCATTGCATTTTAGTCGTTCAAGTGAAGATCTTCTTTCATCACCATTTGATTCAATGCGTTATAATACTCAACCCCAATATACTTCATTAATACCACCTACATTTGGTAGTGGTTTTCGTACGGATTCTGATTTTGTTCAACCAAACTTATATACAAGTCCTCTACGTCGATCATTTGATGCTCTTAATGATTTTCCAGATATGTATCAAAGTTTTCCAACGACACGACAATATCCATTCGAACAACAACAACAACAACAAAAACAACAACCACAACAACAACAACAACAACAACAACAACAACAACAACAGCAACAACCCTATTATCGATCAACATTTCAAACGCAACATCAACCTCAATCTCAACAACAACAACAACCACAACAACCAACTTATGTTAATCAAGCTTATGTTAATCCAAATATTGTTTACACAAATGAATATGGTACACCAATGGATCATCATAAACCAAATACTTCTCAAGGAAGTGCAAACAATGCTAGTGAGTAAACTGTTTGTTTCAATTTTCAAAATTCCAATGTCGTTGTTTGATTTATTTCGTCATTTAAAAAAGAAAGAAAAAAGTCCATTTCTTTATTTAACAACAACAGATGTTGTTGATTGTATTATAAATATGTTTTCGTTACTTTCTTAGACTTGAAAATAAATAGAAGCGTGTCGCAATCTTACTTTTAAATTATTTGATCCATCTAATGATGAATCATCGTTCATATTTTCTTAAAGCACAAAGGAAAGAAACCCACATTAGAAAATTTACATCGAAAACTTTAGATTTCTTCTCTCATACAGCAATTATTATTATATCATTTCAAATATCAATTGTCAACTATTTTTCATTATTATCGACATACGACAAAAACGAAATTTCAGCTCTTTGAGTTTCTAAAAAACAAAATATAAGATAGATGTTATTATCATTCTGTCGATTGATTCCATAGTTACTATATATCTTAACAACAGTAACCAGATTGATGATATCGACGGTGGTTATTGAAGACCAAATCATATATGTTAGCATACGCTTGCATGACGTAGCAAAGAACAAGCAGTACACAATATTTTTTTACCCCGTGCATTAACCCTCATGTAATAGAAATCATAAAAGAGGAAAGAAAAACAAAGAATAGAAAAAAAACATCATGAGCATATCTGTACAGAAGAATGAAAACAAAAAATGCTAAGAGATTTTTTTATTGTTAATAATAGTGTATTGTCGAGAACAAAAAAGTTAAAAATACATTCGTTTGATGGTTGTAAATGTAAGCAATTGATTAAAATCGTAATGAAATACAATGGGTATATCGAGTTGTATTTTGAGAGAACGAAAAAGTTCGTTTATATAGAATGATAAAAGCAATATATATGTTTTTAAAATAAATTCTATTTCTTTTAACAGCTAATGAACGTGCTCGTTCACCAGCCACTCAGCGAGGTGCATCACCAGCTAAATCTGCACCAACTACAACACAACAACAACAAGAAGAACCTGAATTGAAAATGGCTAAAGACACAGACGGTCCTATTCCAATGCCAGCACCGTCTTTTTCTTCTTCTACATCAACACAACCAACTGATCCACAAGCTTCATCAACTGATACTGCAATATCAACTAATGTTCCATCTCCACCACCACCACCACCACCGCCACAACCTGTGCGTGATCCTAATGTAATAGCATTAGAAAAACTCGAACAAATGAAGCAAAGTTTGGATAATCTTGAGAAACAAGTTGATATTTTTACTGGCTCAACTCGGGATGATCGTCAATATAAAGTACTTGATGAACAAGCATTAAAAATAATGATACGTTGCGATGAACTAGTCGATGTTAGTGCTGATATAAAAGAAAAACGAAAAGAAATGATACGCAATGTACAAAAAGTAATTGGTAAACTTGAATCGAAAGTACCAGGAACTCCTGCTGTTGAACAAAATAGTAATCTCATGAAAATAGAAACTACTTCTACTAATGAATCAGTCGTCAATAATGACATTAATAATAATAATAATCAAGAACATATTGAAAAGACATCTTCACCATCTTCAAGTCCACCAAAAGAAAAGATCGCTGTTCCAATACAAATAGCAACAGCAACAGAACAATCCACATCAACGTAAATAATAATTATAATAATAATCAACTTTATAGATAGAGAATTTCTTTTTCTTCCTTTATGTTTTATTATTTTGATTTGTCTTTTTTGCCGTGTATTTTTCAACCTTCTTCTTTACTCTGTCTATCTTATTTGTTCTTTCATTTTCAATGTTCTCATTAATGATCATCATCAGCACAGACTTCTGTTCTTCTTTTTTTTGTTTCGACCATTTTCTACAGAAAATGTAAATAAAAAAAACTAGAAGAAGACAGAAAAAAGAAACAACGAAGTTTTTAACAGAAATTTTAATTGAAGAGTTTCGTATTCAATCAAGTATACTTTTAACTATAATGAAGACCAAATTGAATCGATACAATTTACATTATAAAGAAACTAAGATCTGCGCAAGAGTTAAAGAGGAATGAATGTAAACTCAACAACTCGAAAACGATAACAGTTAACGATCTGTGACTTTCAGAAACCTACAGAGAAGAACTTCGGACGTCGTTTTGTCAGTACACTATGTAAGACAAAACTAAATCATCTTAGCAAAACCTTTAAAAACGGTGTATGAAAAGAGTGTTCTGTTTCGATAAAATTTTGATTTAGATTTGTGCTTCTATCGAGAGACTTCAGATCGATAGTTTAAGACTTGACTCAGATGATTATTGTCTCATATTTCAACGTTGAACCAACGAAATAGTGTATGTATTCGGTTAAATTGTACAGGATCATTTTGATTTTTAGCGAATTTTCTGACTTTTCTCGTCAAAATTTCCTTGGAACGAAACACTGTTTTCATGGATGTTTTTTGAATGTTTTGTAAAGATAATGTAATTTTGTCTTAAACAGTAACAGGCAAGGGGACGTCCGGAGTTCTCCTCTTTTCATTATTCAAAGTTACAAGTTGCTTGCTGTTGCCATTGTCGATTTATTTAGATTACATCTACATAGACATACAGAATCTAGCTGTGTGCGTCAGTACACGATGTTTGGGGAAATTTTAGAAAATTATTTAACTGTAGGGAAAGTTTTTCATTTGGGAATATCGAATAACGAGATATTTCTCTTGTAGTAGTAAGAGTATAAGCTTCGTACACAGCTTCTGTGATTTCTTTATTAATAGAAAGTATCGAAACAGCTGTTTCTTTTATTTAACTATACAAAGCATTACGTTTTCGAGTGAAGATTACTTCTATTAATATATGATTAATAAAGATTAGTTTTTTCATATGACTTTTCTATATTTTAAATAAATTGATTTCTTCGAATGTGCAAGGGAAAAAATAAATCTGGTTTTGCATTTATTTTAGTAGAAGCAGAAAGTTTTTCAAGAATCTATGTATGTGGGAGAAAATTTTTCATTTTAGAGGCAGATACTGTAACAACATCTCTTTGATGCTGACACAAACATTAGATAGATGTATGAAGAAACAAAACTTTTTTTATCTTGTTTATAATCAATTTTTCGCCATGATACACAATGGATTTCATTCATAGATTCTCAGTTAGTAAATCACACATTAAATTGTATCATAAAAGTTATATACACTTTCACCAAAATAAATGTTTCTTAAATTCTTTTTCCATTACATCTATATCTTGGTGTTGTTTTGATTGCATATGTAAGGTGTAACTATATTTCTTATAACTTATTCTGAAAGTTTTAGTTTCATAATTAGAATAAAAGTTGGTGGAGAAAACTACAAACATGTCTTATGTGTTCATGTGCTATTGAAATAAAAAACTTTGTGTTTTCTTATTGGATATTCTCTTCTTTTTGTTTTCTTAATAAGATTTACTTATGACGACAAAATCTTCAAATGAAAATTCCCTTGTTGATCTTTGCCCGTAAAACTTGACAGAAAAACGATGTAACGATGAAAAAAAATCCGCAAAATTCTTCTCATTTCATCAAAGTTTAAACTTATTAAACAAAAAAAAGCACAAAAATATTTTTCGACAAGAAAATAATAAATTTTTATTTCTTTAATGGATAAGTACATAAGACATATCTTCAATTTTTTCCATGAACTCTTATTCTACTTATAAGACTAAAACTTTTAGAATAAGTAATCAAAAATGTTTTTTTAAGATGTTCAGAAGAAACTAAACGAGAATGAAAGAGAGCAATAATCGAAAAAAACTCGACGTGCTAATCATATTTTTGTTAATATATATATATGTATAAGAAATTCGAGTATAAACCTTATTGTTCTTTTTTTTCATTGAAAACAATGTCATTTATAATTATAAAATAATTTTATTCGTTGTGTCAGACATCTAGCTAATATAATCACACATAGACTCTGTCTGACGAATATATACGCTTGTCTTCTCTGACATTGATAGAAAAAGATGACTTTGCCGTGGATTTGTCTATTAGTCTTTAGAAGAAAACACTTTTTTTGAAGTCTGAGTATAATACGAAATATCCCTGAAGAAATTTTCATATGTTGGTTTATTGTCTTTTGGATGCAACTAGTTTCTTTGTTCATTATATCAATTCATCGGGGAAAAAAGCTTTTTAACTCGATCTATATATTTCTCTTGTTTTTTTTATGTTTTTACTATTCTCAAATTTCATCAAACTACAATAGGAAAAAGAGTCGCTACTTTTCGCTATTCATGCCGTCATCATTATCATCATCATTCTGTTGTCATTCTTAAGAATGAGTGTTAGAAAATCGAGAACGAAGACAACAACAACAACAACAAGAACATCAACTGAGTGATGATGAAAGCTAAATCGGAGACCAAATTGACGTTTCTCTTTTTCTATATATTTTCTTTTGTTAGTTCGGAACGCTAATGCACTCTGGAATCATCTATGGATTTCAAGATCATCTATCTCTATCTTTATCTCTGATTGAACAACAGCAACAAAAAACTCGAGAACAGTGGAGAATAAAGATGTTATCACAAACAAAGAACATCAGAAAGTTAACGCTTGTCGATCAACATATAAATAGAACTACAACACTCAATGAAATGCTTTTCTTTTATGAATCTTCTACGATGTTACTTAATACAACGGCCAACTTAAGTTTTAAATAATCAAAAAAAAGCAATGAATATCAATATTTTCATTCAATCATTTTTATTTTTTATTCTTTTAAATTCTATTTCTGACGTTTATTCAGCATCTAGTTCATCGGTTTTTGCTAGTTCACTTAAACATACAAATCGTAAATTCGACAAAACAATAACTAATCGAAAAAGTAAAGGTGCAACATTTGGAAATGACTTAGATATAGATGATGATGGAAGTAAGTTTATCGAAAAAAGTATTACATATTTTGTAGTATTATTAAAATGTATCAATAGTTATTGAATCAGAAGTTGAAGTATCTCTAAAGAGAACTTGAAGATGCTCTCCAAAAAAACATTATATTTATTGAATAGAGGAATCGATAGATCTATGTGAAGTTTTAAAAAAGTCATTATTTGATTATTAACAAATCTTTATAAGTAATTTTTCTTATTCAATAACTAAAGTATTACTAATCTTAGATTATTATATATTGTCTAGTCAATTTCAGAATTATAATTGAAGAAAAAACTCTTACTCATATAACCTACTTTTTTCTTTATTTAGTACCTCAATTTAATTCAGACGAATCTCGATTACGTTCAATATTACTTGAAAGTTATGTACCTGAAGCTCGACCCGTTATTAATACAACAACAGTAACTATTGTTGATGTTGGTCTTACCATCATTCAAGTGATGAATTTAGTAAGAAATTTCTTTTTTGTGGAACTCATATATATGTTCAAAGAAAATAGTGAATATAAGTTTTAAGTTGAAGCTTCGAAGTTTCTCCCTTAACAGACGATAGCTAGCAACAACAACAGGCATCAGTCTCTTTTCTCAGACTGCTTTAGGAATGGACAAAAGTGCTGAACGACATTAACAACAAGATTTAGACATTTTTCGAAATTTGAATGCATGAAATACGTTTTCGGATATACTAAATAATGCAGTTTTGCATTTTTGTGCCGATAAAAATTTATATTTAAGATATCAAGAATGATAGATAGTGATGCAGAGTATATCATAGGGTTTTGAGACCTGCTGTAGATATAATAGATGTTTACAATAGGATTATTTGCCAATAGTTACAATAATAATAATAGTATTTAATGAAGAAAAACAGAATATAAAAAAGAAAAACAGAATATAAAAAAGAAAAA